TTGCAGCTAGCTAGAGGCCTCAGTTATTCAGAACTTAAGATTTTTACTGGTAAACGTGCCATTGGCCTCCGCTCAAGCTGGCGCATCCCTCAACTTTACCGTCACTGGTCCCCTTCCCACCGTAACCTGGGCTCCTGTTTATCTGGCTCTGAGGACCTGGAGCCTCTCTCTGAGCCCAGCCCATTTCCTCACTGTAACGGCTCTGTGGCAGTTCTTGGAGTGGTTCCTTGGGGCCTCCTTTCTTTCCCTGCCCTGGAACAACCCTGCTGTGCCTGTCTGAGCATTGTCCCTGTGTGTCCCATCAGGAAGCACAGACTCTTCACCATAAACAACATATGTCCCGACCTGGGGGAGCATCCACCCACGCCCCTGATATCCCATCCTGTGGGGACCCGGGGCCATCTCTTGCTGCATCCCCCAGGAGCAGCTTGGCCAAGCTGTAGTGCCAGGTCCCAGGAGGCCTCCTTGTGCAGCAGCTTACCTGCCAGCTGCCCGCCCGCCCCATCCATGGGGCAGCCCAGTGCAGGTAAGCTCCATCGCCACCTGGGCTGGCCCACGAAGGCTACGTGGCTGTCAAACCCCCATTCCAAGCTTTCCCTCATGCAGAGGTGCTGACAGTCTCATGAACAGCTGGCTTTCGGTGCTGACTGCAGCCACCAGGCTGGTACCGGGAGGAGCCACGCCCAAGCTGGCTGCAGTGTGCGGCTGATGCTCTGCCTTTGATGCACTCTGACCCTTCCCCCATCATTCTGGACACCGTGCTCTGCACAGACCCCTCCCAGCCCCAATCCCTCTGCTCAGTGTGGCCAGAGTCTTCCAACAGCAAATACTTCACTGAATCTGGATTATTATTGCTCATCAAATTCCGCTCGTTCTACAACAGCCACAACGTACCAGATACCCCCAAGCCTAGGTGCCCAGGGCCCAGCCCCTTACAAAGCACAGGGTTGCTCATTTAGCACAAGGAAATTTAGCTGTGGCTCTCAGGTCAGCTGGAGGAAGAAATGCCATTATGACAGCAGGGTACTGATTCTGCTGTGCAGGCCCCCGGCCACTCTGTAAGAGCAGCCTTCCTGCCTCTGCCCTGACATGTCCACCTCTGACCCCCTGCTGCTCACTCCCAGCTGCCCTCCCAGGACAGCTTTCAGGTCTGGGAGTCCATGAAACTATGAGTATTGCTTTAACTTTGCCAAGAAAATGCTTACAAGATCGGTGCTGACACTGCTCCCCCAGCACTACGCCTTCCTGTGCTCCATGGCTGGCGTCTCCTGCTTTGGGTGGAGGCGGACATGAGCTGGCCTGTCGGGGGCCATTGCAGCTCTCTTAGCCTAAGTGGCTTCCTTTCTCGGGCCTCCTCCCCAGGCACCTGGGCCACCGTTGGGCTCTGAGGATCGTTTCTGGATCTGGGACCCCTGCTGACTCCCCAAACATAGCATCAAAAATAATCAGCAAATGTATGAACCATCCACTCTAAGTCATAGTTAGAATTTCTGTTTACCTCCCGAGTGTCTGGAAATGTATCATTTCAAAGGCTCTATTTGATCATAGATCCAATTTATTGCCAGAAATGTGCATGTAGAATAATAGAGACCCTACTATGGTGTTGAAGTGGCATCCTGTGAGAAGATTATTTAATCCTGGAAGCAGATGCCAACTGCTCAGCAACAATGTTCGTAAAAGAACCGAACTTCATGGTATTTCAAGTCAGGCAGCTGAAGGGCTGTATACTGGAGGTGTTTTCTGAGCCTGAGAACCAAATCTGAATCTGCTGTGGATTCAGCGCCCTGGGCGAGGGTCTGCCTTTCCTTCTGTGCTGGTTCCCAGGGCTGGGGGCTCCGGACCCTGGAGAGTCCAGTTGTCAGCACGTGGACAGAGAGAGCCTCCACGGAAACTCCTGGGCTCCTGTGGCTTTGTATTTCATGTCTCCCCTGGGAAACTGGGCTACAGGATAACCCCCCCCCCCACATACAGACACATACACACACAAACCAACCCATGGATGGGCCAACAATTTGGAAAGTAGAGTGTTTTAATCCTGTGGGGAGACCTGTGTACTTAATTTCCAGCCTGGAGATTGATAAGGATTAGGAGATTATTCCAAAAATGGCTGTGAATTGCCAGAAGAAGAGCAGGCTCTTGGACTTCTGTCTAATCACAAATGGCCAAGAGAAACAAGGGACGTGATCTGGCCCTCGCTGCCTCCAAGGGGGTAGAAAGAGAACGGGGCATGTGTTTGGCAAAAGTAGGAATGGCCAGGTCATATGTGGCTGAGAAGAAAAGCCTGGGTGTTCTGAACCATACTTGATTCTTCGTGTTCGTTGTCGGGGCTGGGACGGAGCGGGCCCTTCCCAGATGTGCCTGGCCAGGTGGTGGACTCAGAGCCAGCTGGGCAGACAGCTGACCCCCAAGGGCCGTCCCAGGTCTCCACGCTCATGACTCTGTTGGGCGTGTCTTTAAGGTGTACCATCTGTCCAGAGACGCAGGTCATCAAAATAACACAGCCCTGCTTTAGCCAGCGCAAGCGAGGAGCCCCCAGAGGGCGGGGAGAGGGCACTGCTGTAGGGAAAAGAAAATTCATATTTTTCTTTAGAGAAAATGAAAAGTGGTGCTGGGTCCAAGTGGCGGGTGACCTTGCTATTGAGTTAAAATGCTGCTGAGGAAATTAGAGAAGACAAACATGAAAAGAATGCTAATGAATAGTGGTGGATGGGAGCCCGGAGCCCTGGTTCCTCCACCATCCACAAGGGGTGCTTGTGTGGTGCCTATAAATAGACACTTAAAAACCAATTCTAAATTCAGTTAAGATGTGGGCCTGTTTCCACTTACGGAAAAGCGTTATGTAAGGTGCAGTGCCCTGCCATTCTTCCACAGTGGTGCGACGATTCCGTGCCTTTGTTGGGAATCCATGTGAAGCTTGCGGGGGATGCTCAGGGTCCAGATGAATGAGACTCTGTCCTTTCAAGAGACTTGCAGACTGAGGGCAGGCAGAGGGATAGCTACATATGGGCAGCCCCAGGTGGCAGTGGGCAGCCCTCACCAGGGAAGGGAGGCCTGGCTGAGCCCGCAGACAGGCTCCGAGTTTCCCCAAGGTGCTTCCGGGCCGGGAGGAAGTGGCAGAAGCTGGACTCCTGGGCAGGTGGGCACCTCTGCAGGCCTGTGGTTCTCGGAGTGATGTGGGTGTCTGTAGGCCCAGGACGGGAGGGGAGGACACAGTGGACGTGTGGGCAGAATTCCAGCCTGTGCCAGGAGACTGAGGCTTCTGGGTTCTTCCCTACCTCCCTTCTTGGTCACAAGTGCCCAGAGCTGGGGTGGGGCATGCCCAGAGCAGACAGTGGTCTTTCTGACTGATCTGCTTGAGGTCACAGAGCTAATTTGTAACAGAGTGAGGAATTGAGGCCTCATCTCCTGACTCCTAGGGAAGGGTTCTTTTAACACTGGACATAACATTTAGTATGTGTACTAACCCCCAGATCACTTCCTTTGGGAGGTCCTCGGGTGGCAGGGTGTGGGGGTGAGGAAAGGAATACTATTTAATGCTAATGTGGTCCTGGCAATTCCGGAGGCTGTGTTGGATTTTACTTTCCCAACCACCTTGGAGGTCGTTCTTACTGTCCACATTTTACACATGATAAAACGGAGGCTGACGATGTGAAGGGATTTGAAAGGCCACAGAAGCGCCATTACCCTTGAAAGAAATGGAACAACTATGCAGATGTCAAGTTCCCCCTGAGGAGAGCAAGCAGATGATAGTTTTGTGGCTTGGTCAAAATGGAAGCATCTTCAGCCTTCTTAGCAATAGCTGATCATTTTCCTTTATATCTGGACCAGAGGTATCTACACTGGGCCAGTTTGGGGTGGCAGGGAACTCATCCAAATTCCCTAATTAAAACCCAGTGCTAGAAATGTCTGTCCGGGGAAATGAGAGCCACTGTCGGGCTTCGTTAGAAAAGTGAGAGCCCTGAGTCCAGATTAGAACTTTGTGATCAAGTAGGGGCCAGTGTCTTCCTGAGCTAGTAGCAAGACCCTGTTGCCTTCCCCCAAAGAATAACGCTGTCCCTTGTGACTTCAGACCCCGGGACCAGAGTGAAGGTAAACTGTCCAACCGGCACAGCTGTTTGGGAAATAAATGCTCTCGGCCCTTCCATTCCCAGCAGATGAGGCCCAGGGGAGGAGACTCCTGTTGCTATGGTTTTGAAAGGATCCAAGAAATTCCTTTATAACTTTCTCTGTCTTCAGCCAAATTGGAGGGAGAAGAGGAATTTGGATGTGATGTTTAAGACCAATACATCCCCATCCTCTCGCACCCCCCCAGGCTTCTCGCTCCCTGGTCATCACTGCCCCCACCATGAATTCCTGATCCCACCCAGGGCCTTGTCTTGAAGCCCTTGAGTCTGTTGGCCTTCCTCTTTAGCTTGCATTTGCCAAGCTTTCTCTGTTCAAGAGAGTGTGAAACCTGATGGCCTCTTTTCTGTTCTCTTTGTAAAATCACTCTGCCCAAGAGGAGGGTGGGCTGTGAGGCCAGGCAGAGGAAATGAGAGGTGGACTGTCTTCCTTTCCCTTTCCTTTCATCTCCCTTCATCCCCCTGCAACCCCCCCAGGCACACCCACCTCAGTCTGAAAGTGTCCCAAAATACCCGTTCTGCCAACTAGTGGGGTCAGGCTTTGTTGTGGGAAAATACATATTTATGAGGGCTTTGAGGAGCTTCATTGAAATGTGAGTAGTCTCTCCTTTTGGAGTGATACAGAAGCCATGGCTTTATTCGCCCAACATGATGTTCTTAAGGCAATAATTATGTGATGAATGGCTAAAAAAAACCTTTTAATTATTTGTTTTGGGTGATTTGTGATCATCTCATTAGAATTATAATCAGTTCACTTTTACAGGTAATTCAGAGCCTTTCACTCATTTAAATTTCTATACTTGAAGGAGCTCTATAGGGGCACCCATATCATTTCTGAAACCAATGTAATTTCCTCTCTTTCCTTCTGTTTTATTCCAGAAAGATTTCATCACCAGGAGGTTTTTCGGGACGTTATCAAACCACTCATTTTCGGTAAGAAATATGAGGTAGCCTTGCATGGAGTGAGGTTTTGCTTCTGATGTGTGTGAAATGGGATCATTTTGCTAGAGGGATGCTGCCCTTCAGGTGGAACTGGGAAGTTGCCATAGTTCTGTATTTCCTGGGAAGCTGTGTCTGTATAATTCAGGACTAGTCTGAGCACAGGGAGTCTGAAGCTGGGTTTGATTCACAGCCAAGGAGCCGATGAACACTGGGCTCACTGCTGGGCACTAATGTTGCCAGAAGCCATGCCTCTCCCCACTACCCCCAAAAGAACAGCAACTCAGCCCTCCCCCGCAACCCTGTCCCCTCCTCATTATACTAGTGCTTCTGTAAACCATAGTCCTCATCCAGTTTAGTTGTCAATTTGTATAACCCCTACCTAGATTTGTATTTATATCGAAAGTAGATACATATTACCAACAATAGATACAATTTGAAACCTTTCATTCTCAATCTTGGACAACATTACTAGTCTACTGGAAGTCCACCATTGTGAAATACCAGGATGCTGAGTGGAAGACTCTAACTTTGGTTCAATAGAGCCTTCCTAAGCTTACCAGAGATGAGGGATGGCCCCTATTGCTGTTGCCCTGTGAATGAAACTGTGTTGTGGCTCTGGTGCTGGTGATCCCTGGTGGGTATTTGGCTGGCTCTTGCTCCATAGGACCTGTAGGAGCAGATTTGCGCAGGTCTTTTTAGGTTCCAGCTGAGTGCCTGGTACAGGGGAGATTTTCAGGAGGTGGATTCTGGACTGAAGATGAGTGGGAGCTCTTTTTCTTGGGTCAAAGACACCCCAGTGGCTTGGTTGTAAGGGAAGCTGGTGTATAGCTTGGGGTATGTTTGAAGAAGAGAATATTGTTAGAGGTGAGGAGGCCGAGCCAGGCATGGTCTCTAAGCACTGATGTCCAGATTAGATCTGAGCTTCTGATGGATTCCATGGGTTCTTAGGCGTTCATGGGAAGGAGCATCTGCTGGTTGGATGGGGCAGCGCTGGGCAGCAGACCAGAGTGTCATATGTAGGGTGGCTTTGGGACTCCCAAAAGAGAGGAATACTATGTTCCCCAATGAGGAAGCTCTGTGCCAACCCTGAGGATAAAGATAAAGACCAAAGGGGACGGAGATGGGATACTGGAGTGTCAAGACCCAGGTTTAAAACCTTTGTTTTGCTTCTGGGGCTGCAGAAGGACACAGTCCTTGCTATTTGGAGCTGCTGAAAGAGCATTGTTTTCTAAAGCAAGGCAACTTCATTAACCTAGCATCTATCCTACATTTCCATAGTCGCCCATAATCACCGTGCTATGCTTAGGCAGAAATTCCCTGGCGTCATATTGGGGGTTGTTCTTGTCATGAATATCCTGGATGGATTCCGTGGTGGCTTTGGGCCACCGTGGTGGCAAAGGGCATTTAAGAGATGTTGAACAATCAGCCTCCATCCACAGAAACAGAGGGTGACACTTCACAGGAGCTGCATGATTTTTAATGGGTTTAAGCATAAGAATAAATGAGTATTTTTCTGAACTTTTCCTCAGTCGTCAGTTTTTAAAGTTTGTGAATTGACTTTTCTGCTCTTAACAAGGCCGTTTCCATCCCATTTGATTTTCTATTTAGAGTGGTAAACATCTTTCAGCCTTAAACGCAGTACATGCATCAGCCACCCTCAGCTGTGAAGATGCTAAAGAATTTGGGGAAATTCTAGAAAGGGAGGAGATTTTTTTTGTAACTGGCAGTAAGGATAGCTTGTGAAGGGAGATGTTACTTGTGGGGAAGCGGTCTCACAAATTACAGTGAAATTCCCATCTTCTGGGAGCCCAGGGTCCAGCAGCCACCCCAATCCTTCTGCCCTCTAGGAGCTGTCCACCATGACATTGGCTTCTTGAAGTTTTCCTTAATGAAATCGGGGTTGTCATTGCATTCTGATGGAGCCATGGGGCAGTTCTGTTTGTGTCTCTAAGGTATAAGATTTTTTATTTCTGTCTGAGCCCAAAAAAGACCTAGTGGGATTTTTATATATCCTGAAATACTATTAGTATCAAAATCAGTTGCAGTAGACAGGAAGCCATACTCTCTTCCTGATTGCACTCACCTGTCTGCAATGTAATGGGACCTTCATTTAAGTGAATATACTCATTACAATCCTCTACAGCTTCCCTGCAGAAAAGCATATTTCTTCTGTGAGAGAAAAGTGGCAATGAGATGGATATTTTAAAATGTCAGTTATGCCAGAGTGGATCTCTCTGAGGCCATCTGCATAGAGAGGAGACCTGGGATTGTTTATTTTTCTGCTGCAAACGAACCGTTCTGTAACTTCAGAATGCTAGAGCCCAGAGTGTGTGCCTGACATCTTTTCATAGGATAACTTGGTGACTATGCTTCCACTTGCAGTAAAAGTTTGGGACTGTGTTCTATTTTTTTTTCCCTGAGAGAATTAAAATCTAGGCCTCACTATTCCTATGATATCTATCCTGCAGGCCCTCGATCTATAAAATGTGTGAATCATAATTATATAAATTCAGTGATTCTCCTGAAGGAATGTTGAGAAGATTAATAAGCTGTGTTTAAATCATGGGCAAGTTGTAGAAAATATGTTAAGTTAGAAGAGGTTGCATTTGTGAAAATGGCTGGCTGCTAGGATGCCAGCACGCCCTTGCCCAATTACAAACATATAAAAATGCTGTGTAAAATCTGGCCAAGAATGTTCCTAAAGTCTAAGATCCTAAGAAAAGCAAAGAAGTTCCCAGCTACCAGACAGTAAAAGAAAAAACAAAGCCAGAGCATTAAGAGGAAGCTGGCATAAGGGCAAGGCAGTGAGGTTACTGATGGGAAGCTATGATTAAGATTTGTGATATGTGTGTAGGGAGAGACAGGGACAGGTGGGACAGGGTAGTGAGCCTAGTGTCAAACTTGCACATGTACGGGAACCTGGGTGGTGGCAGAGATGTGTTATTGACCAGTTGGGAAATGATGCGGGACAACTGGTTGACCACATGGGAGACAAAATGAGATCCCTACCTCACAGCATACACATAAGTAAATGCTAATAGAATTAAAGACCAAAACGAAGAGCAAGATGTTAAAATGCATAGAAGAGATTTTCTGTATGCTCTTAAGGTAGGAAAAGGTAAGACACACACATGCGCACACAGACAAATCATAAAAGAAAAGATTGATTAATTTAACATCAGTATTAGCAACTTCTTTAAGAGGAGAGACACTAGATAAAGTTTAAAGCAAACTACCACCTGGAATAAATATCTGTGATGCATTTACTGTAAGGGATTAGTATTCTGTCTGGTTAAAGAACTCTTTCAGAGCAATAAGAAAAAGACGACATAATTGAAAGAAAACGGGCAAATCATATGAAGAAGAAGGAGCCGGGGATGATGATGTTGGCTAAGCCTGAACAGTGTGTTCATGGACGTTTGTTACATTGCTCTCTGCACGTCCTTCTGTGTATTTGAAAGAGTTAATGAAAGAAGAGGTTCTGTTAAACATCTCAATATATGCACACACAAACCTCACCGCTCTTATGTTGTGTGTCCCTCTGGCAGGGCTGTCTTGCTTCTGTTTACCAGCTTATCCTCTAACTCCACTATAAGTGCTGGTTTCCTGGGCTCACCTTTTTACAGGTGGTTCTGCATTCCTCTCTTCATTGAAGTGGTTAGGATTTCTTATTTTTCCCTCAGCTTTATTGAGGTGTATCTGGTATACAAAAAAACTGCGTGTAATTAGTGTGTACAGTTTGGTGAGTTTGGACATAGGTAAACACTCGTGTTACCATCACCACAATCCAGGTAATAAACATACCCCTAACCTCCAAAAGTTCCTGTGTCCCTTTGTTTTTTGTTTGTTTGTTTTATAATAAGAACACAACATGAAATCTACCTTCTTAAAAATTTTTAAATACGTAATACCTTATTGTCAACCATAGGCACTATGTTGTACGGCAGATCTCTAGAGCTTATTCATCTTGCACAACTGAAACTTTATTCCCTTTGAACAGCAACCCCCCCATTTTCCCCTCCTCCAGCCCTGGCAGCCACCATTCTATCATCTACTTCTATACCTTTGACTATTTTATATAACAGGAGTCATTGCAGTATTTGCCCTTTGTAACTGACTTGTTTCACCTAGCATATTGTCTTCCTGGTCCTTCCATGTTGTCGCAAATAGTGGATTTTCTTCTTTTTAAAGCCTGATGAATATTCCATTGTGTGTATATACCACATTTCCTTTATCCATTCATCCGTCCATGGACATTTGGGTTGTTTCCATATCTTGGCTGAACGAGCTGGGCTTTGCACATTGGCCTGGACCTGTTCTTTCAAGCAGCGTTCACACGGCTATTCTTTTTGGCTCTGTGTGGCTGATCCCTCCTCCATGTGCTTCTCCCCATCTTGACAGACAAGGCTCATGGGCCACCATTTTTGGGGCCTTCGTTGGACGTTTAAGCCTGTTCTGTCTCTCTGTGGACTTGGACGCCTGCTTGTTCCACATCCTTCACAGTGTGCAGGCCAGTGCCTCGTGTGTAGTAGATGCTCAGGAAGTCTGTCATCACCGTTTAGCTCTAGTTTCTTAAGCCTTCAGAAGCTCGTCTTCCTCATCTGTAAAGTGAGGACTCAGGATCTGGGGAGTCATTGTGAGAATGAACTACATCATGGATGAGGAGTACAGAGCTCTCCAATATTCTTAGTTTCCTTCCCTGGAAGAGGCAAAGAGAGGACATGGCGCTGGCCATTATGATTTGCTTTCAGACTTGGTGTGTGTGTTTTCAAAGGCTGGAAAATGCCTGCTCCAACACCTAACTTTTTTTTTTTTTTTTTAACTTGCATGTTAGGAGAGAAAAAATTCATCAACACCTTTTTTTAAAAGATGAAAATTGTGTTAAGAAAATAGCAGTATGAGCTGCTACTAGGTTGAGCCCAACATAACTAATGTGATTAAATTGAAGGAAGTTAGTCATTTCTGTATGTAATTTTTTATTAATGATATTC